TTAGGGTTAGGGTTTAGGGTTAGGGTTTAGGGTTAGGGTTTAGGGTTAGGGTTTAGGGCTAGGGTTAGGGGATTTAGGGTTTGGAGTGCTAGGGTTGGGGTTATGGTTGGGGAGTTGGGGTTTGTGTTAGGGGAGTTACACTTTGGGGAGCTAGGGTTAGGGTTAGGAGAGTTAGGGTTCGGGTACTAGGGTTGGGGGATTTATGGTTGTAGGAGCTAGGTTAGGGTTAGGTTAAGGGGACTTACGGTCTGGGGAGTTAAGAGTTCGGGGAGCTAGTGTTGTGTTAGGGCTAGGGGAGTCTTTATTTAAGGCTTTGTGCTCTTGGACTTCTGGCCCTGGGCAGCCAGCAGCTGGCTGGGATGGGGGCCCCTTCTGATCTCCTCCACGGCAGTGTGGGCTTCTTAAGTGGGTGTGTTGCTTCTTCCTTGCTGACGCACGCTAAGTCATCAGCTCCGTGAGAGGAGAGGCCTGGTGAAGTGAACGTGCTGCTGTGCCTCCCAGAACCAGGCGGGACACATGAGATTTGAAACCTAGGGAAGCCTCACACCAAAGGCCCATCTTAAGGAATTTTGTTCTGTGGTAGGGATAAGTGGACAGTTAAGTCTATAGTTCCTTACAAGACAAACTAAGCATTTTGCATAGTAAAAACTAAACAAAAAGTAAAATGTTGCCATTTATCACAGTTTTTGCCATAATAATTTTTATTTTGTAAGGAACCCAAAACCTTATATTTATTACTGGGTCCTTTGCAGAAAGGAGAGCGGAAACTGTCCCTCTTGTTGCTGGTCAGCCCCTTGCCAGGACCTGAGTTGACCCTTTGCCCTTGGTCCCCACCACAGCCCGTGATCTTGCAGCAGATCTGAGGTCCCTGATGGGCAGCTCCTTGGAGTGGACTCTGTTAGCTGCAACTGGGAAAAGCCTTCACTCAGCAACCTCCTGGGCCTGGCCTCGCCTTGCTCTCTGTGGCCTGCACTGAACACCCCTTACCAGACCTGAGGGTGGAGGGCCTCATCCCTCCAGCATCCATTCACCTTTAGCACAGGTAGTTCAGTCCTCTGGAGAGGTGATTTGAGCAAAGGCAGGAAGCTGAGCAGCTCCGGGAGGTGAAGCTGGGGGGGGGGGGGGGGGGGAGTGGGGGGGGTGCAGTAATCAGTAATGAAAGATGTGGAAGGACCTCAAGGGCCAATTTCCTTTCTCCACAGTTCTGCCTAGGGCTGATGGCCCTGCAGGGCTGATGTCAGTCCTCGTCAAGAAGGCCCTTTGTCTTTGTGCATGCTGGGGATCTGGCGTGCTCACTGGAACAGGCATAGGGAGACCAAGGACATTGGTTTATTGGTGTAATTAAACTTCCATCAAAATCTGTGAGCATGAGCATTTACACAGCCAACAAATGTCTGCCAACTGTAAAGCGACGAGCCACAGCTGCCTTTACCAAATGGATCTCATTAAATTAATTACATTACACTGGACAGCTCGTTCAACACCCTCAAGGAATCTTAATAAAATCAGGGTTATTAGAGCAGAAAGAGACTGTCTAATGAATACAACCCTCACCTGAAAACAAGGGGCTAGGGTCGTGGGCTAGGTGAGAAGGTCACACAGCAGGCTGGTGGCTCCTGGCTCAGGAACTGTTCTTGCTTTTACAGCTGATCCCTTATCTTGGGACTTGAGGTATTTACGGAGGCTGGCCATCCTGAAACCATTTCCAGACCTTTTACCTGTCTATCTTCCTCCTAAGAGGCTGAAAGTCTTATTTTCCCAACCTTCCTAGAAAAAAAATCCATAGCCAAGTAGCCCAGTTCTGATCAATAAGAGATGCAGGCATGTTTCCTGAGATGCTTCCCTGTACTTCAAACGGCATCAGAAAAGAAAAAACTTTTACCTGCTCCTTCCTGCTTTTGAATCTGAATGCAGGGCTGGGACTGAGACAGCCACCTTGAGATCACGTGGCAATAACAAGGGCAAAAGGCTGTAAAATAGACAGGCAGAGGGAGTCTGAGCCCGTGATGGCAGCAAG